AAATAAAGATTCTTAATATTGTTTGAATATTTCGACTATAACAAATTAATAACAAATTCCTACGTTATTGTTACAATTTCGTTATTAGATATGTATCGTTCCGCTAACTTATTTTTTTAATCTTTCTTTAGCGGAACATCATTTTTAAAGGAAAGTTTTTTCTTGAGAGCAAATTTTTTTCTTGGCAGCTATTGAGTAACAAATAAAAATATTAAAATTGATTCTGCTCACTTTGTTTCGCTAATTTATAAAATATCGATATTAATATGTTCATCCAGCATTTTCTTGTTCGCCAACTCGCGAGTGCAAAGTACATTTCGATTCAATATTAATAATCGATTGCAAATAAATAATAATCGGTGCCGCTATTACAATAATAATACTTGATTTCATTGTATTTTTCGATATTTAATGCATCCTTTTCAACCAGATTTATCGGGGTTTATAGTTTTCCGATAGGACTACTTAAATAAAGAGATATATCTATAGCCGACAAGCGTATACTTATATCAAAAAAATATATATATCAAAAGAGTAATAATAATATAATTTTTTTAGTACATAATATTTTATCATTTTTAACATCCATGAGTGTCAAAATATAAATCAACCATTTCTGTAATTGAATTGCTTAGTATCAAAGTAAATAATCCATAATTCATATGTATTTAATGAAAAAATTTAATAAATATTTATGACATGCATAACGTATTTAATAAAGAATAAATTAAATTTTTTAATCAAATTTAATACATTTCTTGAGTTATATTGTTTAACTTTATTGTTTTAGTTAAATTAATAACATATTGAATAGGAACAATAACGATCTATACAAATGATTAAAAATAAAATTGAGTATAATTTGACATTATGATTCGTATTCAAAATGCTCTTTTGTTGATAAATGTAGGCTTTTATTTCTGAAATTCTATAGTATAATGTAACGTAAATTATAGATGCTAAATGTACATTAACATTGTTATAAACGCGTTTCGAATGTGAGCCTAATAAATTTAACATTAACGTAGAATATGTAATTGCCGTACTATACATTTTGAATATTTACAAGATGTGTAACAACAAAATACTAACATATCCACCATTCACATATCATTCCACCATTAAATGTGAATTTCTATTCAGGTCTCTTCGCGGTCGACCATGGGCGGTGTGCAGAGCGGGACTCATAATCTTGGCGAGGCATTATGGGTGCAGGAGCGACAAAGACAGAAGTGCCATCGGTAAGTAGTGAACTCCTTAATAATGCAACGCAGCAAGTGTTCGCTATACTATATGCGAGACATACGAGCGATGCAGATACTCGAGACAAATTCGGGACATGCAAGAGGTCAATTTTAGCTTCCGAAATGATTAATTTCTTTGGTACTAATAAAGGATCTAAAACTTCATATCACATCTCTCTTATTAATTAATTGTTAGTTATGTCTTCCGGCTTTGTACCGAGTAATATTAAAGATTGATGAAGCTGCTCCAATAATTATGTCAGAGAATATTTCTCTATCTGGGCCGACAATTCACTAATTATTCAAGCGTCGGAAAAGTTTCAGAATTACGATGATTTTCTTGTGAATATACAAAATCGAATCTCGATTCATTCTTATTCAACGAAATTTCTTTCATAGTTGAAATAATTATAATTGTAGGGTAAAAACAGATAATGAGAATATTCGTTCTTACAAATTAAAATTATTCCGATATAAATGTATATTAAGAATTTATATAGGACTCTTGAGAAACATATTATTAGCTATAACGTCTAAAAGTTAATAAAAGTTTCCAAAAATTAAATTTAGCTTTAGAATTAACAAGTAAATTGTAATTATATATATATATAAAATATATATGTATGTGTGTGTGTATAT